TATCCCAATTACCCCACCCGCCGTTATTGCTGTGACGTTGGCACCATTTATGCTCGCAAACCGGTTTATATATATATATATATATATATATATATATATATATGAGTGATAAGACTAAAAACCTTAGATCTACCAAATATGAGCACGACGTACTCACTTTTAGATGTACGAGAGCTGAGCAAAACGTTTCCGGATGCACAGACGTTTTATGTTTTACACTAAAATAAGCATTCTATTTTCTCGAAATATTCTCCACCAGCGTTCATGCACAGTTCCATGCACTCAAACCATTTGGTGAAGCAGCTCCACCATGCCGATGCGAGTAGCCCTTCGACCCGTTCAATAGAGGCCTTCACTGCAGCTGTTGGTGACACGCATCATGCGCTTGATTTTCGGGAAAGCAGTGCTCCGTGAAGGCGCGTCATCACCAAAGACAACTGACAAACAATCAACACTTCTGCTGCTTTAAACCACATTTGTAGTCGTAGCAAATCGTCGCCCTCCACAGTCACATCGACTGAGTTCCATCCTTTCAGTCCGAGTATATAGCGACCCTCGTATGACTTGTGAGCTGTGCTCTCGGCTGTGTTGATATTTGGTTCTGTGTGAGTTGCAATCACAGCACAATATTCACATTAAGAGATTACAGTTAACGTTTTCCTTGTGCCGGTCATCTGCATCTCGTACTCGTTGTGCTCTGCATATCCGGAATTGTTTTGTTCAGTCCTCATACGATCAAAATACCTTTATAGATAACAATCTTTACTTTTTCTCATCCTGTCTCGTTGAACACCGGAGAGCGGTTATGACCGTGCTTCTCTTTTTACCTGCCAAGGTTCTTATCCGAGTGTGGATTCATTAAACTATATCAAAGTTTGTATTAGATTGACAGACGCTCCTCTACTACTCCTACCACTACTACTTTGGTCGGTTATCCGGCTGCTCCTGTTTGACCGGATAAATGCACTTTAGCAACATCTAACTGAAATGCAAATTCGTTCCGCTCACTCTTCGCAAGAGTACTTTGAGCCAGTTTGAAAGTGAATGTTTTTGTGCATAAGTAGATTAGTCAAACAAGAACTGAACTTGAATATATATTGACAACAGGTTATTTTCAGTCATCCTTGTCCCCCCCCCAAAAAAAGTGACAACGTTTGGTTGTTGTTTTTTTTTTGGGGGGGGGGGGAGTCTGAACACATTTTTCTCATCTTTTCATTTGACTTCCTTTTACTGAATAAACAAAGATACAGGTTTCAGGAAGGGGGAAGCAGCTAATCAAAGGGCTGCCATTCAACACAAAGAAATGAAGAAAGTCAGGTGGTGCCGGTGGGATTTGAACACATCCCCGGGTTGATAATTTGGTGACGTTACCCCCGGTCCACCACCAACCGGCGAATTGTGGGGGGAGGGCTTTGAATCCTCACTTTGGAACCTTGAATAGCACTCTACTATTCGACTGATAGCGTCTGACCAATTGGGTACCGTGTAACCGAACCACATTGAGGATTGTTTCGAATTCGCAGATCCGGTAGGGATGAGTGTCACTGACATGTGTTGCATGCAATAGGGCTTTATTCAGTATACATTTCAGACCGTGGCACAGCGTCAAACCCACCGTACGGGGACACAAGTTATACCTATCACAGATAACTGACGAAGACCAAGGAATTAGACCGGAGTTTCCTGTAGGGACCCTCTCTCCCAATTCTGATCATGGATTTGGTTATATCCTTTTGTAGAACCATGTCAATTGCCTAAGCCCCCGGGCACATTTTGAGGCCACATTGAATCCGATACAAGCACATTGCACCTGGTCATCGCAGGAGCATGACCCGACCTTAGACACCATTTATGGTATTTGGTGCAATTTAAGTCTGCTCCTTTTAAGTGTCTCACTTTCAACAGACTTTATAGTTTGCGATATATTTATAAATATTTTCATTAGTCTGATTTCATTTTCGACCTCAACACAATTGTCCACCAACTCGGCACTTTTTCCACTGACTTTGTAGATTCGCATCGGTGAGGAGTTGGTCCAACAATCCGCTCTGTTCGAACGTGCCTGTGTGGTCCTCGAAAGTCCGGCTCGATGCGGTGTTTTTCTGAACTATTTGTTCACCCAGAATCGTGATGTTTCCCCTGCGGTACGTTTTTCCACTGGACGATCTGAATGACCCCATTTTGTTCTATGCTCCTAGTAGGTAAAGTTTGATTCGGTTAACTAGGTCGAATTGAAACAACATGGTTGTTGAATTGTGATCGATTTTTTGATTAGTCATTCATTCATTTAGGTTCGCAAACAATATGAAACAAAAATCGATTATAATTGCTGAAAAGTAAAACGGTAAAACTTGATGACACATATTTACCGTGGAGTAGAGGAGTGAACCGTTGAGAGAGGAGTCTTTTAAAATGGTGATCGGGAAAAGAAAACAAACCAATACTGAATATATGTAAAATATTGATGTTTCATCGGTTCGTACTTCAGTAATTTTTACTATAGTGACCATCAGCTGACAGATTAATACCTACTCCTATTAACCATTTTATATGATGAATTCGTCGTATAATTGAGGCATGAGCTAAGAAGTTAGGAAGTACTAGACAGCTGTTTCGACTTGGTTTGGCCTCATCAGCAGTGCGATCTCATCGACCCAAGTGGGGCTCGAACTCGGGACTTCACAGGTAGAACGCCAGCATGCTACCCACTCGACCACCGCACAGCTGGCCGCACAGTTTCTCATTTGGATTATATACGATATAGCCAAATGCATCTGTGCAAGCTTGTTGCAGGTAACGGACCTCGCTTATCTCAGCACTAGCCTCCAGGGTTATGACTCGGTTGGAAACTTTCAAAACCTAATCATGTGTTGTATGAGGGGAATGATTCCCAGCTTTTCAACTCAACCCTCAATTATACAATAAATTCATCGTATGCACAAATCTTCCATAACTCTCATAAAATAATCATTTTGTACACTAAAATACATTTATGTGACAGGTCTTTAGAGTATTGACTAATTGCAAACTGATTCCGTAAGAAGACCCTGTTTGTGTGAGATAATGGCGGCCTAAAGATCAAGTTGAAAGCTTATTGTTGAATCAAGTCATCTGAAGTGTTGCATCACAAACTTTACCACTTTGGTGCATGTTAGTGCTCAAGTATTTATAAAACATTCGCCAACTCCTATCCATGAATTTGAAATTCTTTTTACCACCTGGAGGTTGTTTACATTCGCTTAGTTGACCGGTTGCCAGGTAGCTCGACTGAGTCAATGGTATCACGAGTCTTACGATGGGGACCGTATTCCTCAATTTCGGAGGTAATGAAAACCATATCAAT